TTAAAATTACAATTTAAAATGAATTTATTTTAAATGTAATTGCTTAAAAACGGAGTTTTTCAGTGGTCGCGGTGGCCGCCCGGTGACGCTGTCGACAAGCGGAAGCGGCACATCGATTACCACCAAGCAAAACGGCGCCGGAGGCAGCCATTCGATTACGCCAGCTAATCATGATCAGGTAAGGGTCAGGGAGCCGTAAAAATGACTAAGTTTTGAAGCCGTCGGTAAGGATCCCTCTCTCTCGCCCTCTCTCTCGCTCTCTCTTTGCCTCTCTCTCTCGCTCTCTCTCGCTCTCTCTCTCTCTCTCTCTCTCTCTCTCTCTTGCTCACTCTCTCTCCTCTCACACACCCTGCATCCGTTCCAGCTCCAACCTCAGCGTACCTGGTTCTCACGCCGGTCGCTCCGCTTCTGGAGCTCAAGCCGTCGCGCGGAGAGCGGTAGCGGCGCGGGCGGTGGCCACGCGGCGGCCGCGGCAAGGAGCAAGTCTTCGGTAGCGCTCGCTGTTCTCGGGGGTGGTCGGGCTAACAGAGGGAAATGCGGAAATGCGCGAATTTGGGTGCTTCTAACCTTGTCCACGTTCACTTGGGCTTAGGCGTAGGCTTAGGCTTAAGCCTAGCTCACGTTTCTTTTCAAACCCAGATTCATTTCGGGGATCTAATCGAGTGTTTTTTGGAAGCTACCGTAACCTCTGCACTCACCTAAATGTCAAAAACTCATATCCAGCCTGAAAAACCCGCCTTTCCAGTCCCCGCCCCCGTTCAAGATGGCCGACTCGCTCGCCGTCCCGCCGGCCGACTTCAACTGGGCCGATGCCGGGCTTGTTAACCCCCTGAAATCTGGTATGCAAGTTAGACCGGCACTCCCTTCCTCAATAATCTTTGCTAGCCTACCTGAGCAAACCCGCCATTTTTTAGGCGGCTCCTCGCCCGGCTCCACCCTGCTTGACGTCGATTTCTTCGACCCGAAGGGCCCGCAGACGGTCACGTCGAGTGCTGCCTTCTTGGAGAGGTACGGTAGCCGGGCAATACTGTAGAAAATGATTTTTTAGGGATCTTGAGCAGCTCGGCCTATCCACCACCACCTCGTCGAAGCAGCTGCCGGGATCTATCCAGAACAGGTAGGCTGGCAGAGAATGTTGAGGAGGAGGAGGAGATGGCAGGCTAGCAGAGATTGTTGAGGAAGAGGAGAGGGCAGGCTAGCAGAGATTGTTGAGGGAGGGAGAGGGCAGGCTAGCAGAGATTGTTGAGGAAGAGGAGAGGGCAGGCTAGCAGAGATTGTTGAGGAAGAGGAGAGGGCAGGCTAGCAGAGATTGTTGAGGAAGAGGAGAGGGCGAGGCTAGCAGAGATTGTTGAGGAAGAGGAGAGGGCAGGCTAGCAGAGATTGTTGAGGAAGAAGAGCAGCGAGACTAGCCGGGATCATTTAATATTTTTCAGCGCCGACCTGGTCTCCTCTCTTCTACAACAATCCGCATCCGGTGGCCATCAGCAACGCCAGACCGTTCACCTGAAGCCGTCGGAGCTGTCGTTGGACGCGCTGGCCCTCCATGACCGCCTCCCCAGCCTGTCCTTCCTCCTCGACAAATGCCGCTCCTTTCACAAATAGGCCTGATATGCTCATTTTTTGGGTTTAAAGGGACTGAAAAGGCGAGAGAGACAGAGAGTTAGAGAGCGAGAGTGTGTGTCAGAGTTAGAGGCAGAAAATTCCTGCCTTCCCGGTCCCTTTAAAACCAGGAACTCCCCAATATACACTCCATCCGCTTCAAAACCCCATTGCCTTACTGCATGCCGGCCCAGATTCCGTTGTGATACTACCACCACCTACCGTACCCCGCTCCCAGCTTCCCCCCACTAAAATGTGCCCTTCGCCGTCCCCGCGCCATATCAGCCCCCGCCTCCCCAAAGCTATTCCACGGATTCGAGTTGTAGCCAATTATTTTAGCGTTTTTCGAGTGTGTTTTTTTGAAGCCGGATCTCTTTGCCAGCTGCGTAATAAGCTATCGTGACGTCGTATTTTGCGCCTGATTTTTCCTAGAGGGTTTTCCCGATTTTTCTCGCGGTACCGTAATCCGGTTTTTCGGTGTTTTTTTTTTGGTTGTGTAACATTTCACTTGAACGCCCAGCTTTTTCCCCACACGAATTATTGTGATAGCCGCGTGTCGATAATTTTAAAGGGAACGTGACAGCAGGGTGAACTTAGGTACGTGCTTCGGCTTGGGCTTAGGCTTGGGCTTAGCTTAAGCTTAGGCTCAGGCTCAGGCTTAGAATTAAACGTGGGCATAGGCTTACGCTTAGGTTATGCTTCGCTCCCAGCTGTCACACTCCCTTTAAAATTGTCGTTTTTCCTCTTGGTTGTTCGCTGATGGGTTGTGAATGTGAGAGGACGATTTATCCTCCCACCGTACTCGTGTATCATTCTGTATTTTTGTGAATAAAGATTTATTTTATTTTATTGACATTTTAGGGAGCGAGAGAAACATAGAGACAGAGAGCGAGAGAGAGAGAGAGAGGAGAGAGGGAGAGAGAGAGAGTGAGAGAGTGAGAGAGAGAGAGGAGAGGGTAGAGGGTGAGAGGAGTGAGGGAGGAGAGGGGAGGGGAGAGAGGGGAGGGGAGAGAGAGGAAAGCGAGAGAGAAGCAGGTATAGAGAGGGAGAGCGATAGAGTTAGAGAGAGAGCGAGAGAGAGTAGAGTGAGAGGGAGAGAGATGGAGACAGGCAGAAATTCTGAAGGCATTTAGAACAATTCATACAGTTTTGCCGGTCCAAAAAGCTTTCTGAGTCAACCAGTCAAAGAATAGGCGTTGGAGGACATAACAAAACAGTTCATTTTTTGCATGACCCGTTTAAAATGCTCTTTTTCACGCAATTTCCCAAATTTATTTTTGAATTTTTTAATGACCCGAATTTTTAAAAATATGCTAGTCAGCGGGGGCGGAGCCTGGCTAGTTATGAACCTTGCCTCGGGTCTTATCAATTCTCCAGATCGCTTCCCTATTCGATTAGGCCCTGATATCCCGGGGACAATTTTCACGATTAACCTACCAAAATATTCTAATTTTCTTGCCATTTTAAATGCACATTAATGAGGTCGAAAGTTGAGCCCGAAAATGGCAAAATATGGAAGTGTCGAGTAAGTCAAAAATTCTTAGAAATACGTAGATTTTTGTGATGAAAAATGGCTAAGTAAAGTGGCACAAAAAAGCAAATTGGGGTGTTTAAAAACTACAGTACCTATCCGGGTGAATTTTAGACTTCTTAAAGGGACGTGAAAGCCAAATTATCATAATTCGCCTCGGAAAATCCCAAAAAAATAGTTTTCAACAAATAATGAAACGAAAATTATGGGATTTAGTAACTGCAATTTCCCTTATACTTTAAAGGAATCTGTAAGGCAATTTTCCAAGCTCGGAAATGGACGAATTTCCGCGACTTTCAAAGGGACGGTGGCACCTAAAAATGGGTCGGTACTGGGCTGTTAGCGGGGGGACGGGGAAGCAGCAGCGCTTTCACAAAAACCTATAAATATTCAAATTTGTGTGTTGATTTCCATTAAGGCGTTAGGAGAATACCAAATCTGAATCCGTGCAAATGCCAAAATGCCCCATTGACGGCCCGTTTCGCCCAAGATTTGGCTGCTGCTTGCCGGGCTACTGGGCTACGCCCTCAACAAATCGTAGCTATTGAATTTTTAGACATTTTTAATGGATTTAGTTGATGAAATTAGGGTAAAACTGTCTAGTCTTAAGGGATAAATCATTATTCAGGTAATCAAAAGATTAACTAAATTTCAGCGACCCCCTCCGCATGCCTACGCAACAGACAGCAAAGCCGACGAAGGCGATTGTCATCGATGGGTTCCCGAAAGGTATATAACCCTTGAAAATCAAGCTTATCGTATTTTTACAGTTTCTACCCAGCCACTTCCGGCTGCCAACTTTCAAAGAGGTGATTTTCGTAGATTGGAGCCGAGCGGAATTTAGGTCCTCATCCTCATAGGGCTGACGGTGTTGGTAGCCGGCGGGGCCGGCGCTGGCTACTATTTTATCGCGTTGCCGAGAGGTGAGGAGCACAATGATCTCTGCAAGCCCGCCCTCGCCGCTTCTCAACACTCTCTGCTAGCCTGCCTTCTCCTCTTCATCAACAATCTCTGCTAGCCTGCCCTCTCCACTTCCTCAGCAATCTCTGCTAGCCTGCCCTCTACTCTTCCTCAACAATCTCATAGCTGGCCCTCTCCCCTCCTCAAACCCCGCTAGCCTGCCCTCCTCTTCCCTCAACAATCTCTGCTAGCCTGCCCTCTCCCCCTTCCTCAACAATCTCTGCTAGCCTGCCCTCTCCTCTTCCTCAACAATCTCTGCTAGCCTCCCATTTCCAGCCAACCCCGTTCCGCTCGGCGCCGCCAAGTACGCCTGGCACTACGAGACACTTGGGGCTGATGAGGATGGAAAATGCGAGTATGGTTTTCAAAGGGTCGCGATTCCGGGAACCTCAGCAGCTAGCAGAGAACATTTGATCTCATTTCAGCCCTGACAAGACCCCGCTGGTCATCTTCTCGATGGACGGTCTGGCCAAGGATTATTTCGACCGGGGAATCCTGCGCAATTTCGACTTTATCGCCGAGCGAGGGGTGAAGGCGGAGGTAAATTGGATTTATTAAAGTTGAAAACGAGCAAACAACTAGCAGAGGTTCTGTGCGGAGTTCTCAAGACTTGAATGCTCCTTTAAAGCCCATTTGCAGGGCGTCTTCCCGTCGTTCCAGTCCAAGACGTTTCCGAACCATATGAGCATCGCCACCGGGCTCTACCCCGGCTTCCACGGGGTCGTCGATGCCTGGGTGAGCTAGCAGAGATCATTTGAGAGCGGACAGGGCAGGCTAGCAGGGATTGTTGAGGAAGAGGAGAGGGCAGGCTAGCAGAGATTGTTGAGGAAGAGGAGAGGGCAGGCTAGAAAGATTGTTGAGAAAGAGGAGAGGGCAGGCTAGCAGAGATTGTTGAGGAAGTGGAGAGGGCAGGCTAGCAGAGATTGTTGAGGAAGAGGAGAGGGCAGGCTAGCAGAGATTGTTGAGGAAGAGGAGAGGGCAGGCTAGCAGAGATTGCTGAGGAAGAGGGAGAGGGCAGGCTAGCAGAGATTGTTGAGGAAGTGAGAGAGAGGGCAGGCTAGCAGAGATTGTTGAGGAAGAGTAGAGGGCAGGCTAGGAAAGATTGCTGAGAAAGAGAGAGGGCATTAGCAGAGATTGTTGAGGAAGTGGAGAGGGCAGGCTAGCAGAGATTGTTGAGGAAGAGAGGGCAGGCGGTGAGATTGTTGAGGAAGAGGAGAGGGCAGTTAGCAAAGATTGTTGAGAAAGACAGGCAGGCTAGCAGAGATTGTTGGAGGAAGTGGAGAGGCAGGATAGCAGAGAATTGTTGAGGAAGAGGAGAGGGCAGGCTAGCAGAGATTGTTGAGGAAGAGGAGAGGGCAGGCTAGCAGAGATTGTTGAGGAAGAGGAGAGGGCAGGCTAGCAGAGATTGTTGAGGAAGAGGAGAGGGCAGGCTAGCAGAGATTGTTGAGGAAGAGGAGAGGGCAGGCCAGAAAAGACGTTGAGGAAAGAGGAGAGGGCAGGCTATAGAGATTGTTGAGGAAGAGGGAGAGGGCAGGCTAGCAGAGATTGTTGAGGAAGAGGAGAGGGCAGGCTAGCAGAGATTGTTGAGAAGAGGAGAGGCAGGCTAGGCAAAGATTGTTGAGGAAGAGGAGAGGGCAGGCTAGCAGAGATTGTTGAGGAAGAGGAGAGGGCAGGCTAGCAGAGATTGTTGAGGAAGAGGAGAGGGCAGGCTAGCAGAGATTGTTGAAGGAAGAGGGGAGGCTAGCAGAGATTGCTGAGGAAGAGGAGAGGGCAGGCTAGCAGAGATTGTTGAGGAAGAGGAGAGGGCAGGCTAGCAGAGATTGTTGAGGAAGAGGAGAGGGCAGGCTAGCAGATTGTTGAGCAAGAGGAGAGGGTCGGCTACCATTTGGAGCTCCATTTTTCAGATGTACGACCCGAGGATCAAGGCGCGGCCTGTCGACATCCGAAAACCGAGCCCCACCGAGCGTCAATTCTACGATAGCGGAGAGCCGGTGAGGGATTTTCCGTTTCCGCAAGAGTCCCTGCTGGCCTGCCCTCGACTTAAAAGTCTGTGAAAGTTTTTTTGCAGTTTTGGACGACGTTCCACCGGCAGACCGGAAAGAAGGTCGCCTGTTTCCAGTTCCCCGGCTGTCCGCATTACCCAGGTAGGCTTAGGCTTAGGCTTAGGCTTAGGCTTAGGCTTAAGCTTAGGCTTAGGCTTACACCTCACGCAGCCATACCTACAGAATCACCGTTCATCACCGAACCCTACCAGCCGAACCGGCAGATGAGTGAGGTGTTTGGCTGGGTGCTGGAGCAACTCGCGAAACCATCCGCCGATCGCCCTAGCCTGATCCTCGGCTACATGGATGAGCCGGACGCGACGAGACACGGATTCAAGGGCGATTCGTACGAGGTAGGCTGGCAAAGATTTTTGAGGAGGAGCAGCGCCTCATTTTCGATACAAAAATGTTCAGGTCAGGACCGTCTTGGAGCGGCTCGACACGGAGATGGCGAAATTCCTAAACGAGCTCTACCAGACCGGTCGTTTGGGCTGCACGAATTTTGCCTTCCTGTCCGATCACGGTATTTTTTTGGTGGTGGCCTAAGCCAAAGCCGAAGCCGAAGCCTAAGCAGCGACCATTTAGGCTTTATGGACGTCAGGCGAACCGTCGACCTGAACGGATACGACTTCCGCGGCGAGCAGACCTTGCCGGGGGTGGTTACCCGGATTCACCGGGGTGAGAATGGTTGGTTTTTTACTACGGTAGTTGGAAACGCCCACCCCCCCCCCCCGCTAACAGTCGAGTACCCGTTTTTTCTAGGTCCTCTTCCCTCCGCCTACTTCGAGAAGGCAAAATGCGAAAGGCCGCGAGACGGCTTCAAAATCTACGACAAGAAGCTGCTTCCTCCCAGGTGAGATAGAGAGACCGAGAGAGAGAGAGAGAGAGAGAGAGAGAGAGAGAGAGAGAGAGAAATGCCATTTCCAGGCTCCACTTCTCGGATCACCCGCGCGTCGGCGATATCTTCCTGCTCTCCGAGCCGGGCGTCGAGTTCAAAGTGTAATTTTTTCGCGCTTTACGGCAGAGCAGGCTAGCAGAAATCCTGCGGAGAAGGACGCTTTTAAGCCAATTTTAGCCTCGAGCCGGGAAAAGACGTGCTGGGCAGCAACCACGGATGGGACTACTTGGCGCCGGAGGCTGGTACTTGCCCGTAAGGGCCCTTTAAATGCCCCTTAAAGAGATGAGGACGGCATCTGTTGAACCCCCCTTGGGGAGGGGGGTTCAACAGGTCCCGCGGCGAGAGAGGGCGCCCATGGGAGAGGCGCAGAGACATTTTCTTTCCCTCGCGTAATCGATTGACTTATGCCGCCCCTATCTCTTTAACGGCAAAAAAGTCGCGAAAATTCCGCCCCGTTCCAGATGACGACCGTCTTCTACGCGATGGGGCCGGCGTTCAAGCGCGGAGCCCTGCTCGCCCCCTTCCAGAACGTCGAATACTACAATTTGTTTAGTGGTGAGGTTTTTTAGGGCAGCGGTACAATTCAAATAGGCGGGGGGGGGGAAAGATTTAGGCGGGGGGGAAAACCGAACTTATTTCCGCCCAAGCCTATATTTTTTATATAAATAGTGGAAGTGTTTCTAAATGGTTTATAGCTATTCCTAAACATAAAAACTTTACAAAACTTAATTAAAAAATTTAATTTTAGGTCGAAAAATCAATTTTTTCGGCCCAAAAATGACCAAAATTTCGACTTTTCTAACTTTTTAAAAAGTTTTTCCGATTCAAATAGGCTTAAATTTTGCTAAAAACAATGTGAAAACACTTTATATTTGATTACTATCCCCACCAGGGCCGACAAAAAAAAAGTTGGTTTCCCCCCGCCTAAATCTTTCCCCTCCGCCTATTTGAATTGTACCAGGGCAGGGGCAGACTAGCAGCAATTCCTGGCGGAATTTGCTTTTTCGGGGATAGAAGAGCATTTTAATGTCAGCTGTCACAGCCAATTTAAAACTACGGTAATCTCCGGCCAATTTCAGAAATCCTCGGCGTCGAACCGGTGCGCAACAACGGCACGCTGGGCAAGCTGTGGCCGGCCTTGAAAATGCCGAAAAACGATCGAGAGGACCCCTTCTACGATGGGTCCAAGGACATGGAGTATGCTTTTGCTTACCGTAACCTGCCAGCGGTTTGATAGCCTGTCCTCTCCTCTTCCTCAACAATCTCTGCTAGCCCGCCCTCTCCTCTTCCTCAACAATCTCTGCTAGCCTGCCCTCTCCTCTTCCTCAACAATCTCTGCTAGCCTGCCCTCTCCTCTTCCTCAACAATCTCTGCTAGCCTGCCCTCTCCTCTTCCTCAACAATCTCTGCTAGCCTGCCCTCTCCTCTTCCTCAACAATCTCTGCTAGCCTGCCCTCTCCTCTTCCTCAACAATCGCTGCTAGCCTGCCCTCTACTCTTCCTCAACAATCTCTGCTAGCCTGCCCTCTCCTCTTCCTCAACAATCGCTGCTAGCCTGCCCTCTCCTCTTCCTCAACAATCTCTGCTAGCCTGCCCTCTCCTCTTCCTCAACAATCTCTGCTAGCCTGCTCTCTCCTCTTCCTCAACAATCTCTGCTAGCCTGCCCTCTCCTCTTCCTCAACAATCTCTGATAGCCTGCCCTCTCCTCTTCCTCAACAATCTCTGCTAGCCTGCCCTCTCCTCTCCCTCAACAATCTCTGCTAGCCTGCCCTCTCCTCTTCCTCAACAATCTCTGCTAGCCTGTCCTCTCCTATTCCTCAACAATCTCTGCTAGACTGCCCTCTCCTCTTCCTCAACAATCTCTGATAGCCTGCCCTCTCCTCTTCCTCAACAATCTCTGCTAGCCTGTCCTCTCCTATTCCTCAACAATCTCTGCTAGACTGCCCTCTCCCTCTTCCCTCAACAATCTCTGCTAGCCTGCCCTCTCCTCCTTCCTCAACAATCTCTGCTAGCCTGCCCTCTCCTCTTCCTCAACAATCTCTGCTAGCCTGCCCTCTCCTCTTCCTCAACAATCTCTGATAGCCTGCCCTCTCCTCTTCCTCAACAATCTCTGCTAGCCTGCCCTCTCCTCTTCCTCAACAATCTCTGCTAGCCTGCCCTCTCCTCTTCCTCAACAATCTCTGCTAGCCTGTCCTCTCCTATTCCTCAACAATCTCTGCTAGACTGCCCTCTCCTCTTCCTCAACAATCTCTGCTAGCCTGCCCTCTCCTCTTCCTCAACAATCTCTGCTAGCCTGCCCTCTCCTCTTCCTCAACAATCTCTGATAGCCTGCCCTCTCCTCTTCCTCAACAATCTCTGCTAGCCTGCCCTCTCCTCTTCCTCAACAATCTCTGCCAGCCCCCTCCCCCGCTAACAGTCCAATACCGGAAACAGCCTAACCCAAATCCGTTTAGTGATTGCAAGCACAACGCCATGATGTGGAAGACACCGTACCGGGCGCCTATGGTAAACAAGCTTCTGGTGCTTGTGTATTTAAGGGGATATGAACCCTTGAAAGAACGGGATATGAACCAAGCTTCCGCTTCCGAAAATTCTCTGCTCTAGCTGATGCCGTTCAAGACGATGGCGGGCACCCATGCGTATTGCCTGCGATCAGAAAAGCAAGGGATCGTGATCGCCACGATGGTGCCTCCCCGGGAAGGTACTCTCTCTCTCTCTCTCTCTCTCTCTCTCTCTCTCTCTTCCAAACCTGCGTTCAGGCCGTCTCTACATCGAATCGCATAATGGTCCATGGCCGGGCTCGCCTGGCCGTTTCGCGCAATTCGAGAGGTTAGGTAGGTATTCCGGAAATCGCCTTTACCATCCCTACACGGAAGAGGTCGCTCCCCCTGATATCGCCAAAGCACCTTCCTTTCCAGAACAAGGCAACCCCCCGGCCGCTACGCCGCAATTCTGGTCCAAGATTTGGGAGCCGCTGCAAAAGCTGGTCTGGGAATGGCAGGAGAAGCAGCTCGGGATCGTCGTGTATTCTGGCTACACTCACTTGTGCGTGCTGACTTTCTCTCTCTCTCTCTCTCCCTCTCTCTCTCTCTCTCTCTCTCTCTCACGCCCTCTAACAGGCTCACTTACAGCCGATCGCGCTGGTACGCCTACCGTATCATCGTGAGGTGCGAAAACAACTTTCTCCAAGAATATTACTGCCAAGGTACTGTTAGCCACGTTTCCCTAAACATCTCTGCTAGCCTGCCCCAAAAATGTTCGTTTTAGAACCGGCTGCGACCCGCACTCTCTCCTTCCTCGTGCCAATGGACTTCGAGGACCCCAACTGTCTGGTTGGTTCCGTAGCCCCTCAGAATTTAGAGGGCAGGCTAGCAGAGATTGTTGAGGAAGAGGAGAGGGCAGGCTAGCAGAGATTGTTGAGGAAGAGGAGAGGGCAGGCTAGCAGAGATTGTTGAGGAAGAGGAGAGGGCAGGCTAGCAGAGATTGTTAAGGAAGAGGAGAGGGCAGTCTAGCAGAGATTGTTGAGGAAGAGGAGAGGGCAGGCTAGCAGAGATTGTTGAGGAAGAGGAGAGGGCAGGCTAGCAGAGATTGTTGAGGAAGAGGAGAGGGCAGGCTAGCAGACAATGTTGAGGAAGAGAAGAGGGCAGGCTAGCAGAAATCACTTATTTCTTGATTCCAGCCAACCGATCGCCTCCTCCTCTCCTACACGGCCCGCATCCGTGACATCGAGCTGTACAGCGGTTTCCACCTCATGCCCTATCTACCCTACCACATCGCCGTCAACCTGAAGACGAACATCACGATGGAGCTGTGGTGATCCCCACTCGGCGGACGACTACTGACCTCCCCCTGCCTCGTGACTTGTCCCCGTAATGTGCAACGTGTATATGTATGTAGATATCGTGTGTTTTGTAGTCCCTCGTACTAGTCTATGTATATAAAGATTTTCGCAGGATGTCTTGGACGCGATTTTGAACTGATTGGCTGTATTGGTCGTGTTATATCTTTATTTAACAAGTATGGCAGGGTGAGGGGAGGACGCTGTGAGCCTAAGCTTAAGTCGAAGCCTAAGCTACGCCTAAGCAACTGTCGACTTTTTAACAAAAGAAGCTTAAGCAAAAAATAAAAACTTAATTTTTCCCTTCAAAAAATTCTATTTCTCTTTTTTTTTTTCCATTTTTTCTTTCTTTTTTTTTTTTTCTTTCCTCCAATGATAAATTTATTCAGAACTTCCAGGCTCAAAAACTCTGTTTAGACGCGGCTTTCTGCGAATTTTGTAGTCACTGTATCGTACCGTATCGTACACAAATTTATTTCACACGGCAATAATGAGGAAAAGCAAACAAAAACGGTTTCGTCATCGTCGTTGTCGTCGTGCGTATCCTTTCCGAAGGTGTCAGCCCATGGTTGGCCGTCTGCTAATCCGCGCGTGTCTGCTCTTTGGAGTCGTAGAAGCCGATCGTCAGTCCGACGCTCTGTGTCTGCTGAAAAAAGGCCGTGCGTGTCTCACTACAAAGGAGGTTGGTGAAGGCAGATAGTTCAGTCAAGCACACAAGCACCCACAAGCTCTCGGTAGCGGCCTCGCTTCTCCAGGGTCGCAACTCGGGCGTCCTTCCACTCGCGGAAAGCCTCGTCGACGTTTGATCGCAGCGCCGTCGTGAGAAGCTGCAAATAAATATTATCGTAGATCGAAAAACTAATGGCAAAATTCAAGTTACTTTCTTTACTCCTTAACCTAAGCCCTAGCTTAAGCCCAAACCTCAGCCTAAGGCTAAGCTAAATCTAAGCCTAAGCCCATGTCAAAGCTAAGCCTGAGCCTAAGTGAAACAAAAGCCAAGCTGCCTACAAGCGTACCTTGGAGAGCTCTTTGGTGCTCACGTCGGTGTACAGGCCCCTAGCGGCGGCTTCTCCGGCACACAGCGATCGCTCGAACCACGTTGGCAGTGGGTCCCAGTAGGCGTGCTCCGATATCACCAGCACCTGAAAAACGGTTGTCACCACGAGAAGAGACTGCTGGAACGAGCGATCCCCCCCCCCCCAAGTCAATGCCAAATCAAAGCATCAAGCATACCGGCACTTTCGACTCGGGGCACGTCTCCACGCCACCGAGAGTCAGCCGCGCCTCGTCTTGGACCTGCCAGTCCGCCCGGATGCCGTCCTCTTCTTCCTTGACGACGAGGTGCACATACTTGTTCACCGCGTCGTAGATCGCCTCCTGAAAAAAAAAACTTTGCTTGACAGCAGTTTTCATTCCCCCTAAGGCGCCTACTCGGGCTTCTTGGGTAAGCTGAAATAGGCGGTGCTTAGGCTCAAACCTAAAGCTATGCTGAGCTAAGCATACTTAAAGCAAAGTTGGATAAGCACCATGATTAAGGCTTAGGCTAGGCTTAGGCTTATGCTAAGGCCTTTGTTAAGCTTAGGCTGAACCTTAGGTTAGGCTGCTATGCGTGGGTTTAGGCTTTTGCTTAGGCAGCGGTTGTTTCTTTTCCTTTCTAGGTTGCCCACAAAAAATGATATACCTGTCGGCCCAACTCTTCAGCAAGGGCTTCCTCGCGCTCGCACGCCTTGCCATACTCGAGCTTGGCCTCTTCGACTCGCCGGTGCAGGCGGCTGATGGTCTAAAAGGCATAGTCTCGGGATGAACGCCTTAAGGCAATGGCTTGACGGCAAGAAAAAACCACCCACATTCATTTGAATAGAAGTCGATGTGGTGGTCATTGTAGTAGTCAGTGTTGGAATACGCAATAAAGTGCAGTAAGTTTTATGGCCGCCATAACCAGTATGCCGCTTTTATACCGAGACTCCCATGCTAATCACCTTCTCTTGCCGGGCTGTAATTGCTTATATGCAAATTTTGATTTTATGCGGAGCTATTTGTTGATGAAGAGAAGAAGGCAGGCTAGCAGAGATTGTTGAGGAAGAGGAGAGGGCAGGCTAGCAGAGATTGTTGAGGAAGAGGAGAGGGCAGGCTAGCAGAGATTGTTGAGGGAAGAGGAGAGGGCAGGCTAGCAGAGATTGTTGAGGAAGAGGAGAGGGCAGGCTAGCAGAGATTGTTGAGGAAGAGAAGAGGGCAGGCGAGCAGAAATTGTTGAGGAAGAGGAGAGAGCAGGCTAGCAGAGATTGTTGAGGAAGAGGAGAGGGCAGGCTAGCAGAGATTGTTGAGGAAGAGGAGAGGGCAGGCTAGCAGAGATTGTTGAGGAAGAGGAGAGGGGCAGGCTAGCAGAGATTGTTGAGGAAGAGGAGAGGGCAGGCTAGCAGAGATTGTTGAGGAGAACGGTATGGTGCCACGTTTTTGTATTTAAATATCAAGTGTTGTGCATTCGAATTTTTTGAGTATTTTTGTCATTGGAATCAGCATTTTGGTTTATGATTTATTCGTACCAAAATGTGGACCCAATAAAAACTCTTGGAGGCATACAGCTCCTTGTTGAATATCACAGCGGGTAATTGTGATGGCAAACAGCGACACAGAGAGAGTGAGAGAGAGTGTGAGAGAGAGCAACAAAAAGATCAGAAAACTGGGAAAATTGTGTGGGGGGCGGTACCCGTACCTTTCTTCGACCAGGGTATGAAAAAAATGACAAGAACCAAGGGCGTACTGTAGAAATCTGCGCAAAACAATGGCGGTTTTCTGGCTTCTAAAGGGCGCGGGAAGTAAAGTAAAGTCTAAAGGGAGTTGAGGGGTACCCGAAAGGCAGAAATCCATAGAATCTATAAAAATCTGGGGTGGGCGTGGGTTATGAATCATCTTAGAGGAACCGGGAAATCGAGAAGATAAGGCGAAAAACATGGCTTGGAGGCTTGGCTTAGGCTTAGGCTTAGGCTTAGGCTTAAGCTTGGGGCGCGGCTTGCTCCTTCATCGGGTAATCCTTGTTGACGGGCAGTGGATGTGCTTCGGTATTAAAGACCCAAGCGTCGAGCGCCATTACCGTATCTTCGGTAAACGTCAGGTAGGCGTACTTCAGAGTTTCGGCCAAGAAAAAGGATTGCTGCACATCGTCGGCGCCCTAGAATTCCCAAATGATCACTGCTAGCGTGCCGTCTCCTCTTCCACAACAATCTCTGCTAGCCTGCCCTCTCCTCTTCCTCAACAATCTCTGCTAGCCTGCCTCCTCTTCCTCAACAATCTCTGCTAGCCTGCCCTCTCCTCTTCCTCAACAATCTCTGCTAGCTCACTTGTTCTGGTTTGTAGACATTCTGCAATCCAACATATCCCTTTTCCCGCTTGCACCACTTCTCCATCGACTCGACGGCGTCCCACACCCAGTCGCGGTACATCTGGAAGAAATCAGTTAAATCTGGACAGGCTAGCAGAGATCCTTTGCGGAAAGAAATTTCAGAGCGCGTTACCTGTTTCCCCGTCAGCCGCCATAGATAAAACCACCCCTCGATCACCTCGGGGCGCAAGATGTAGCCGTTGGCGCCGGTTTGTCTGCAATTTTTGGGGGTTCCTCAAAAATCTCTGCCTGCTTGCCAGCATCCGGAGGATAGCAAGCTAGCAGAGATTATCGTGGAATTGCTTAAGCCGTACTTGGCGGTCGCGTCCTCCTGGCCGATAAAATAGAACATTTCAGGACCGATGTGGCTCTCGGAGCGGATGTAGGATTCGTGGCAGGTTCGCCCGAGCTCTTCAGCAAGGTTTAGGACACGGGCCTGAAAAAATCTAGTTAGATCTCTGACTCTCTCACTCTCTCTCACTCTCTCGCTCTCTCTCTCTCTCTCTCTCTCTCTCACCTTCCTGGCCGGCTCTTTCTCATAATGCCCCTCCAAGGCAAACATCCCAACCGCAAAACAGGCCAGGTGACCCATCTATAAATTGTTATGAAGTGGCGAATTAAATGTCGTAATCGGTTCGGGCAGGCTACCGTACCCACCTGGTGCTCCGCACGGCCGTTCCGCAACTCAACGAGATACGTCAGATTTGACCGGGAATGGCTGACCATTCTGGAAGAGGATACTGTAGGTGTTAAAGGGAGCATGACACAGGAGAGCAGGCTAGCAGAGATTGTCGAGGAAGAGTAGAGGTAGGCTAGCAGGGTTGTTGGGGGGGGGAGGGCAGGCTAGCAGAGATGATGAGGAAGAGGAGAGGGCAGGCTAGCAGGGTTGTTGAGGAAGAGGGAGGGGGCTTGGGAGGAGTAGAAGGTAGGCTAGCAGAGATTGTTGAGGAAGAGGAGAGGGCAGACTAGCAGAGATTGTTGAGGAAGAGGAGTGGGCAGGCTAGCAGAGATAATTGGGGATCCAAATACCGATAAAATTCACTTTTCCTGTATCTTCTCGCTAACCGCCCAATACATCCGACGCGCCTGGTCGTCCCGGAAATTCGAGTAGAGCCACGCCTTGATCAAGTACTCATAGAACGAATCGCCGAGCGCCCCGAGCGAGATGTGACCTGAAAACCTCCAGCTATATGCGGACAGAGATTGTTGAAATCGCAGAGGCACGCCACTTACTTCCACTAAACCGCCCGTCCGTCGGCGAGATGTAGTTGGGGTAGAGGCCGTCGAGCTTCTGCGCCTTGTCGAGCACGTCGCGCACTTTCTGCACTTTCTGGAGGTAGACTGGGTCGCCGGTGATCCGGGATAACTCGGCGAACTCGAGGTGCAGCGTGCCGATCTCGGAGAGAATCGACATCGACGAGGCCCAGCCAAAGTTTTGGCTCTCGCTGGAAAAAAATAAAATTTTTGAGAATTCTGAGGTTTCGAGAGGTTGGCTAACAGCTGATTGCTAGCCTAAAAAATATCCCCCCCCCCCCCCCCCCCCCCACCCCTCCCCTCCCCCCCAAAAATCCCCCCCCCCCCCCCCCCCCCTCCCCCAAAAAAATCCTGCTAGCCTGCCCTCTCTTCTTCCTCAACAATCTCTGCTAGCCTGCCTTTTTTAATTTCACCCCCCCCCCCCCCTCCCCCAAAAATCCCCCCCCCCCCCCCCCCCCCCCAAAATCCCCCCCCTTAAAAACCCCCCCCCCCCCCCCCCAACCCCCCCCCCCCCCCCCCCCAACCCCCCCCCCCCCCCCCCCCCCCCCTTTCTCCCCTCCCCCAAAATCCCCCCCCCCCCCCCCCCCCCCCCTCCCAACAACCATTTTCCCCCCCCCCCCCCCCCCTCCCCAAAAAACCCCCCCAACCCCCCCCCCCCCACCCCAAAAAATTGACCCTACCCCGGTCTGGACGGATAGCTGCGATTTCGGGATCCCGGTCGGCGTGTTGAAGGCCTTCAAAAGCGAGTCGCCGACATCTTTGGCTTTTGTTCTAAAAATTTTTCGTTTTAAAGGGCCATTGAAGGCTTGCCTTCACCCGCCCTTTAAAAACCTACACGTAGAAAGCCTCGCCGGTCAACGCATTAAGGGACAGCAGACCTCCAAGGAACCGGATCGTCGTCTCAAAAACCGACAGCGTGCCCGTCGCCTTCTTTTTCATGTCGAAATTGTCGCGGATCCAGTCACGGGCCTAAAACTGGGTATTAAGGATCGTCGACAAAGTTCCTCAAGAATCTCCGCTAGCCGCCTACCTGCTCGTACTCCTCCTTGAGCCCCATCAGCCACAGCGTGTCGGCCGCGTCGACAATGGTCGCTCCCATGTCGGCCCCTCCAAAAATCCCCTGGTTGTTCGGCTGCCCAGAGATTGGCTTGATCTGGAAAAGAGGGCGGGCTAGCAGGGTTTATTGAGGAAAACCTCATTCGCGCCCCAGGTGTAATTGCGGTAGCCGTGCCACGCGTGCAGCATCATCTTCACCACTTGTTCCTTCCGTTTTTCTGAAAATCGAATTTGTGGAAGCGTTGGACAGGGTGGCAGGCTAGCAGAGATTCTTTGGGAATTCGAGGCAAGCTAGCAGAGATTTATTATGAATTTAGCGGGACTTCCCGATAGGCCGCTTGAGAATCCGAAGCCTAAGCTTAAGCCTCAGCCTAAGCCTCAGCCTAAGCCTAGTCTAAACCCAAGCCAGCCCCCCCCGCTAACGAACCAGAACCATTTCTTGCATGCTAGCAAAGATTTTTGAGGAGAAACTTTTTTTTTAGGATTTTTATGAGGCTGGGAGGTCCAGGCAGGCTAGCAGTGATTTTTCAGGAATAGAGGTAGGCTAGCAGAGTTTCTTGGGGAGGGCAGGCTAGCAGAAACATTTCAGGAAACATTAGCTGAACGATCTTCTGGGATTTTTTCCTCAAAATTCCTGCTAGCCTGCCCGGAAAGCATTTTACCGTTCTCCGGATCGGCAGCTGCTTTCGTCGCCTCAACTGGGTGTAGCTTCGCCCTTAGTGCGTCCACCTCCTCATTTTCTTCTTTTTCTTCCAGTTTTCGCTCCTGTTCGTGGATTTCTGAAAGAGAGGGGTAGCGAGATAGAGAGAGAGAGAGAGAGAGAGAGAAAGAGAGCGATACCTTCATGCGCGACTTCCGGTTCCGTCCGTGGCTTGACTGGCGCGACCTCGGGACGTCTTTCCAGCTGCTCCTTCAGCTCGGATTCAGGCCGGAATTTGTTGCGGTGCTGCAAGAGGGCAGGCTAGCAGAGATTTTTGAGGAAATGGCAGATCCGGGCGAGCTAGAGAGAGAGAGAGAGAGAGAGGGAGAGAGAGAGAGAAAGAACTCTTCCACCTACCTGCACATCCCGAACACGTTGTGGCTCCACATGCCCGTCGGCGTCTCCCGACGAACCGGCGAAAAACGAGAGAGCCCCGAGTGCGAGCAGGGCGAGAGAGAGAAAGACAATGGCTGCCACACCCTTCTTGACCCGCACCACCTTCATCGCGATGTGCCGGGCCGAGAGGGGCGACGGCACAAACCCGTAGACGGTACCTAGAAATGGGAAATGAGCGAGAGAGAGAGAGAGAGAGAGAGAGAGAGAGAGAGAACGAGCCAGCAATCTCGCAAATAGCTTTCCTTCTGATTTGTAGCGAAGCGTACTGGAATCCAGAAAATGGGATTAGGGTGTGGGCGTTTACATTGCGGGCCCCAATTTTGCGGCTTCACGGATTACCGTATGGCCCCGGGGCTATGAAATTGGATGGGCAGGCTAGCAGAGATTGTTGAGGACAGGGAGAGGTCCGGTTATGCTTTGGTTTCGGCTTAGGCCGGGTCAGGCTTAGGCCTTGGCTTAGGTTCAGTCTTAAGTTAGGCTTAGGCTTAGGCTTAGGCTTAGGCTTAGCTTAGGCTTAGGTTTGAGATTAGGCTTATGCTTAGGCTTAGGCATAGGCTTAGGCATATGCATAGGCATAGGCTTAGCCTTAAGCCAATCTTAGGCGTAGGCTTAGGCTTAGGCTTAGCTTAGGCTTAGGCTTAGCCTGCCCGGTGCAAAACTTCTACGAGTAGAAACACTTGAAGTGGGTTCGAGTTTTGGGGTGGGGGGTGCCATAAATCTTGGGCGGCCCTTGTCGACGAGCCCTATTGTCGTGTTCGTGTGGCGAGAGAGAGAGAGAGAGAGAGGGAGAGAGGGAGAACAAGCAAGATGAGCGAGTGCTCACCCCGTTGTTCTTTTTCAGCCGGGGCGAGAGTGGGTGGAAGGCAAGGTTTCAGACTTTAGCTTCCTCAAGGACCTCTGATAGTCTGCTGGATCCATTTTGGGCTATGAAGGAGGTGTAAAAACGAGCGGAAATTCGAGGGCGATGGCTGTGGAAAGGGTCTACCAGCCCTGGGGCACTTCCAACCCTCCGGGTGGGTAATCCGATTGAAACGGATGCCCGACACCACCATTAGGCTCTTCCCTCCCCCCGAAATACCCCCCTTTCCAAACAATCGAAGTGACGAGATGGACGGGTGGTGTTTTAGGTGAGATTTCGGCTAACAGAGATCCTAGCCGAATCAGCTTGGAAAGATAGCAAAGACTCTTTGGGAAATTTGCGAGACTGAGAAAGCTAGCAGAAACTCTTTAGGCGAAGGCAGACTTGAGGAAGCCGTTTGAAAATTGGTGAGAAGCAGCAAGTATGCAGAGATTCTTTGAGGTATTGGACCCCAGAGGGCGAGAGAGCGAGAGAGAGCGAGAGACAGAGTGAGTGAGATAGAGAGCGAGAGAGCGAGCGAGGGAGAGTGAGATAGAGCACAGAAGCGAGACAGAGCGTGCGCGTTATTGAGAGGGAGCGAGAGCTCGAGATGAAGAGAGAGACTGCGAGAGAGACAGGGAGAGAGAGCGGGAGATAAAGAGTGCGAGAGCGACATAGTCAGAGAGCGCGAGATATTTATTGAGAGAGTGTGCGAGTGGAAAAAGAGCTAGAGGGCGACAGAGAGAGAGAGAGAGAGAGAGAGAGAGAGAGAGCGAGAAAGAGAGAGAGGGTGAGAGAGTGAGAGAGAGAGTGACCATCAAGGAAAAGGGCGAAAAGATACGAGCATCTATTAATAGAGAATTTTTACAGGCGAGATTACAGAGACTCTTCAGGAATCGATGCAGGCTTGCGGAGTTCATTAGGGAATTCGCCTACAAACGCGAGAACATATAAAAAGTGGGGGGAAACGCGATTTTTGGGAGGTGAGGCTGGGCGACGGGGAGCGTTATCAGGCTCCAAACGGACTCGTCACTTTCCGCCCCGCATAAATGTAGGCTGGGATCGGGGGTGGATCGATTTCCGAAGAAGATCGTTCCCACCCCGGGCCCCATTTTCCGATTCAAACATATTTATGACCGATTTATGGAGCCTGGGCTATTGAGGGTTATTAAAAGGCGATGCTTTTGCATTATCGGGGCGTCTATTATTCCTAAACGCCAAAAACTTTACAAATTTCCATTCAAAAATACAAAGAAGATTTCACGAACAAATTTCGAGTTTTTTAGATTTTTTGAAGGTTTCTTAAAGAATTTTTCCGCTTCAAGTAGAGCTTGTTATGGAAAACACTACTAAATTGCTAAAAGTAGGCGTAGGGTTACGCTTAGGCTTAGGCTTAGGCTCAGAAAAGACGTCTAAACCCCTTAGGTACGTTACACACCTGGAATTGCGTAAAAAATTTCGCTTCCCACTCCCTTTAAGGGCTCGAATTGCCGTGGCGTAACCATGGAAAGCGAGCGAGGGAAAGCGAGAGAGAGAGAGAGAGAGAGAGAGAGAGAGAGAGAGAACAGAAGCTGATGGGTCCGGTCCCATTAATGGTGGCAGTCGGGGGGCAAAACGTGCCACTACGCATCACTCCACCTTGCGCGGCTTCTACAGGGCGGGTGACAGCCGTTTCAGTAAAATAGTAAAAAATAAGCATACTAAAGAAAATTTTAGTTTAACAATACATTAGCGCCGCTCCGAAAATCAAAAGGGCGACAGGGGAAAAGTGAAATTTGCTCTCGCTATCTCGGTCTCACCGCCCCGCGCACAGGTGGAGAGAGCGAGAGAGAGAGAGAGAGAGAGAGAGAGAGAGAGAGAGAGAGAGAGAGGGTGACAGAGAGAGACGCACACACATAACAAAAGGTGAAACGGGAAGTGCGTGGGATGCGGGGGGTGGACTGTGTGCCGCGTGGCGTGCCCAAAAATGGAGTTTTGCAAAGCAAATTGGAGGTAAAATTAGGGGCAGGCTAGCAGAGATGCCTTGCGGAAACCTTGAGGCTTAGATTGCCTTGAAATCCTTCGAAATCTGAGCTAGCCTGCCCTCGCCTCTTCCTCAACGATCTCTGCTAGCCTGCCCTCCCCTTTTTCTTAAGGACCTCTGCAAGTTTTCCCAAATTATCGATCAAAAGGGATGATCCGGGATCGCTGCCCCGACTATTTGTGCATTTGGGGGTGTCGCTCCTTCTTTGAGCGCCGACAAGGGGCAATATTTGCGAAGAGACGCAGAGAAAATTGGGCAAATATTCCACCTGGGATCCCCATTTAGATCTGGGCGGATTAATTGGCTATAAAAATTGTCAGCGATCCCGGCAAGCTAGCAGAGATTGTTGAGGAAGAGGAGAGGGAAGGCTAACAGAGATTGTTGAGAGGGAGGAGAGGGCAGGTTAGCAGAGATTGTTGAGGAAGAGGAGAGGGCAGGCTAGCAGAGATTGTTGAGGAAGAGGAGAGGGCAGGCTAGCAGAGATTGTTGAGGAAGAGGAGAGGGCAGGCTAGCAAAGATTGTTGAGGAAGAGGAGAGGGCAGGCTAGCAGAGATTGTTGAGGAAGAGGAGAGGGCAGGCTAGCAGAGATTGTTGAGGAAGAGGAGAGGGCAGGCTAGCAAAGATTGTTGAGGAAGAGGAGAGGGCAGGCTAGCAGAGATTGTTGAGGAAGAGGAGAGGGCAGGCTAGCAGAGATTGTTGAGGAAGAGGAGAGGGCAGGCTAGCAGAGATTGTTGAGGAAGAGGAGAGGGCAGGCTAGCAGAGATTGTTGAGGAAGAGGAGAGGGCAGGCTAGCAGAGATTGTTGAGGAAGAGGAGAGGGCAGGCTAGCAGAGATTGTTGAGGAAGAGGAGAGGGCAGGCTAGCAGAGATTGTTGAGGAAGAGGAGAGGGCAGGCTAGCAAAGATTGTTGAGGAAGAGGAGAGGGGCAGGCTAGCAGAGATTGTTGAGGAAGAGGAGAGGGCAGGCTAGCAAAGATTGTTGAGGAAGAGGAGAGGGCAGGCTAGCAGAGATTGTTGAGGAAGAGGAGAGGGCAGGCTAGCAGAGATTGTTGAGGAAGAGGAGAGGGCAGGCTAGCAAAGATTGTTGAGGAAGAGGAGAGGGCAGGCTAGCAGAGATTGTTGAGGAAGAGGAGAGGGCAGGCTAGCAGAGATTGTTGAGGAAGAGGAGAGGGCAGGCTAGCAGAGATTGTTGAGGAAGAGGAGAGGGCAGGCTAGCAGAGATTGTTGAGGAAGAGGAGAGGGCAGGCTAGCAAAGATTGTTGAGGAAGAGGAGAGGGCAGGCTAGCAGAGATTGTTGAGGAAGAGGAGAGGGCAGGCTAGCAGAGATTGTTGAGGAAGAGGAAAGAGCAGATTAGCAGAGGTGCCCAAAAATCCCGAATGTTCTCTGCTAGCCCTCCCAAGAACCTGGAAAAATTCACAGCTATTGCGCCCGTTTGGCAGCCAGGGTAATTTGCATATTCCAAACGGGGGGCCCCAATTTATGCAGGCTTCGGGGTGTGCCCTCCGGGGCAGGCGGCCCAAGCCGGAAATCTGATTTCCGGTGTCGGGAGTTTGTCTGCTCGTTCTCTCTCTCTCTCACCCTCTCCCACCCTCTCTCTCACTCTGCCTCCTTTGCCCCGGATGGACATTTCCAGCCTAATGACGGCCGATCAAAGCCGGATGGGGGGGGGGGCGCAGCTGACTAGGTGGTTAGCGTATCAATCAAAGTTTTGGGGGCGCGAGCAGGCTAGCAGATATCGTTTAGCAAGTAGGTAACCGGCAGAAATTGTGGAGGGAAAATGCGGGCAATCCGGAACAGGTTTTGAAGGGATCCTCTTACCAATGAATGCAAAATTTTATTTTTCTCTTTTCGGCAATTTTCAAATTTTCGGGAAAAACAAACTTGAGATGGACAAGTTAGCAGCGATTGGTCGGAAATCGTAGCGGCAGAGATTTTTCGGGAATTCTGAAAAAAATGGCGAAAGTGTAGGCTAGCAGCGCTCCTAGAAGCACAGATTTCGGCGTAGGTTAACAGCGGTTTTTGCGGAAGTTTTAGTTTTTATAATTTGTAGTCATCGATCTTGCTGGTAAATTCCAAAATAATCTCAACTAGCTGGCCAGCGAATTAGAAAAAAAATAAGAATAAAATCTGTGAAAAACGACTTTGTTCAAAATCGTGGCTGCCCAGTCGGGGAGGAACAGTTGAATGGATTTTGCATTGTCTTTTTCGCCTCTCTGACTCTCTATGTCTCTCTCTCTGTCTCTCTCTC